GCAAAAATAGCCATTGCAACATTTGCCGCAAAATCACATTCATAAAAGATAATTCCATTTCTCTCTCTTTATTTCTCTTTATTTATTGTAATGTGAAAAATTTGTCATATGAAATTACGTCATAACATTTTGCATCGGCATGTAACCTCTGATAATTGGGTAAAGATTCATTTAATACATATACAATTTCAGAAAAAATCATTAATAGTTGTTAATAGTTTCCCAAAGGCGAGCTCTCCAACACAGTAGTGTTGGAACCAGCAGCTTGTTTACAATTACTCAGCACTGAATGGGAGTTGGAATGGGACACAGTTGTGTGCCTTTTCTACAACCCTTTACTAAGAAACACATGCCTTGATTTTCTTCAAAACGCCGATTCTAAAGGCCTCCACAGTTTTTTGCGGTTTACCAAGAGTTGATTTTTTGGACATCGGACGTTTTCGCATACTTCGATTCAATTATCACGTGATACCTGTTTTACAGATGATCCAAAACCTTCTGGGGCTCATACGGAAAGCGACATATGCCCTTACGCAAAGAAAGCGATAGATTTACCTTGATTGGTCCGCACTGTGAAAGCAGACGACGGTGACAGCTCTTTGTGATACAGTCGTAAGTCCTCCGGCGCCCAAACTTCACGTTTTGTCATGCTGAACAGCTTCACGGGCAGCTAAGTTTTTTTTTGTCGAACGTCCGCCTGTTCGAACGAGTTTTTGGAGGTAATTTACAAGATAATTGAGCGAGTGAGGAGGAGACTTAGGGGCTGAGAATCAGCTTAATTCACCTTACCGATGAGCATTTGATATGCTCACAATGGTGGTAGCAAATCGGAATTGGGTCAATCAAAAGAGAGTTGCCACATCAAGGACGTTTCTAAGATTTAATTTGGAATTTTTCGGAAACTATACAACGCGTTTAAGAAGCGGGATTGCCGAATTGCGCCATATTTTATTTCGTGGATTGAAATGAGTTGCGCATGATATTCTCACATATGTTGATGGAGAAAAAGCGGAACCACATATCTCCATTTGCAACGATGCAGACTACGTATTTGATGTGCTTGAAGGGCGAGGCGCATACGTGCAGTTGTTGGTATTCCAAGAAATACGTGTTTGTGGTTTCGAAATTTCATGGATCCTTACGGCGGAAAGAAAGTTCAAACTGATTTCTTGATGCTTAAAATGTGGAAAGTGGGAGCGAATTTTTCACAGAATATGCATTGAGAATAGTTTTACTTGAAATCATTAATATCTTATTTTTCTTAAAAACTGCACTTATGTGCCTTGTCCTCCAAATCCCCTATTTATCTTCGGAAAACTAGCCAATGTAATTTCTTGAAAACTTCCTTGAATTTTCGTCTCTGTTAGGAGAATATCCTGTATTAATTTTAAGCTATGAAGCTCTAAGAAAAAATAAAATGGAAGCGGAAATTTTTAAACACTGCAATGGAAATGCGTGGTTTCGCGCATTAGCCATCAATATGATATTCTTCATGAAGAGGAGTTTCAGGCAATACTCTTGCAACATTGCTATAATCGAAGGGTGTGCAGCCTGTTCCACGAAAAAAAATAAACAGGGAGAAAAGATGACCGACGGCAAGTTTTCAGATAATAATGGTAAAAATTACTGCGTTATGGCAAGGTTGTAATTGCAGTTCATAAAAAAATCCATCGTCATATTGACATTCATGTCACGATCCATTTATGCATAATATTGCGTGCACGAATGCCAGAATCGATGATTCACACCCTCCGGAGAGTTTTGTTGACATCGGTAAGTATTCATGCAAGACCAAACAAAATGAATCCCCTGACGCCCATCTGAAATTCACGGAAGGTTACGAGATTAAATTTTTGCCGGTCTGGCGATCTCGCGCTAAGTAACCTTTGCCGTGTTTCTATGCCATTCCGCTTGACCGCCAGGAGAAAATTATGCCTTTTCTATTACAGCGGGCCGATTATTGAAACTGATAGACAAAGCGATAGACAAAGAAGACATAGGGAATATGGAGCGATCCTATTGGTTGACATGGTTGGTTCTCATAGACTAAGGAAGAAAATGATGGACTAACTGTCGGGTCTTTAATGGGTTGCCGTTAGTTAGTCTATTACCTACTTCCTATGTCTATTACCACCACCTACTTCCACCAATAGGATCCCTCCAAATCCCTTTTGTCGTGTTTGTCCATAGCTTTGTCTATAAGTTTCAATAATCGGCCCGCAGTTCTGTCGTTTAAAACATTGGTGCATTTTATCAGCCTGATGTCGTATGGCTCGAAAACTGATTGGCTCCAAAATTTTATGGTGGAGAACCCCACCTAAAAAGGGATCGGGAGCCGGCCCTTCTTGGCGACGTACAATGGATCAAGTCAATGGAGAAGGTCGGACAAAATTTGGAAACTTAGCCCATGAAAGCCCATAGAGCCCATAACTCCGTTCAAACAGAACTTGAAGGTTTTAAAATTTTCTTCCAGAAACACTCCTTGAAATTCAAAATGTGACGAAATAAACATCAAAATTTGCAGTTTCAGCCAAAAGTTTAATGCTCGACCTCTCTTATTGACTCAATCCACTGTGCGACGTAGGAAAAGCTTCGAAGTAGGTGTACTAAGAGGCTTATAGAGAGAGAACTAAGGTTGCTTTTGTTTAAATAGTGCCGAAAGGGGTCCCATGCGTGGCTCTCCTAGCTAGGGTTCAGGGAGGCTGATTGTTGATACTGATAGACAAAGTAATAGACAAAAAAGACATAGGGTGTATGGAGCGATCCAATTGGTTGAAATGGGTGGTTCTTTAGACTGAGTGAGAAAATGATGGACTAACTATAGGGTCTCTCATGGGTTGCCGTTAGTAAGTCTATTATTTACCTCTTTTTTCCATTGCAACCGCCCTCTTCCACCAATAGGATACCACCATATCCTTTTTGTCTTCTTTGTCTATCGTTTTGTCTACCAATTGCAACAATCAGCCCACAGGCCCCGAGAAAAAGTCATTTTTCCTAATGTAGTGACAATCATTAATTGTCAAATTTGCCAACGGTTTTAATGAAATCACAAAACCACTAACTGTAAACTGTTAAAGATGTAAAGTTTTAAAATCTGTCTAATTGAAATAGTGCTATCGTGATTAATTAGTAGATTTTATGGTCAGCCACGGTGAGGGTTTCAGGACATTTTGTCAACGATTCTTTGTCCACGCACCTTTCTTGTCCAGTAGTTTACACCCACACGTAAAATAAGCAACAGTGACTTGGTCCAAGCGTCGTATTTTAGTCGGTATGTAAAATTATATTGACAATATGGAAATGAGAAATTAAGAGAGAAGGAGGTGTTGTTATGGTTGCTCATTTTCTAAATGAAATGTTATTACTTTCTCCTTTTGAATCATCTTTTTAAATTGTCATTGGTGAATATTTGGTTTTATTTGTATCCTTAAAATATTGAATGTACAATATACCTTATTTATGTATAGGTACTTTTTTTATTTTTTACTTTACGAAATTATTACTTCATTTTGAAAACATTTATATTTTTAAACCGTGACAAATATTTGTAAAACCCAAGCGACATAAATCTCAATGAGCCGCACGTGTGCCGACAGAAACTGCAAAAATGAATAAAAGAGGGAAAAAACCAAGAAGCACGCAATTTTTAGTTTTAACCCTCTTGTACATAGATCTTTTAGAGTCAAATACGTCAAATTTTGAGCGTTTCGTTGCGCGTACACCTCGCTGCAGCACAATAAAAGCACAAAATGTAAAAGAAAAAATTAAAGTGCTTTTGGAAATCATTAAATATGACACAGAACCATCAATATTTGAAAAAACACACATTTTATTATTATTCTCCTTTGATAAATTGATACATATTTTTTTACCGTCAATTTAAATGAGAATAATCAATGCAGAGTGTGCTAACATTTCAAACTCCTGCGTTAAAAACGCTAAATATTAAACCCTAAGTAACAGAGCCGAGCGGCGTGCTGCCAGCGCGAGAGGCTCTTTGGCGCCTACAAACCTCAGTGGATACTTCACGCATTGCACAATGCTTGAAGTATCCACTTAGGTTTGTAGGCGCCAATGCGCGTTCTGCGCTGGCCGCCCGCCCGCCGCGCCGTGCGGCGGCGCCTGAAGCAGCTATTTCACATCAGAGGTGTTGCACAATATTATACGAAATTGTACGTACATTAAGAATGACAGGCATCCTTTGAAAGTACAGATCTTTCCTCGCAAAATAAATCAAGATACTTATCGTACACAAGGAAAATCTAAGAGCCTTTAGCTGAGGCAAATATAGAGGTTTATCCGGTTTAGGTATAAGAAAATGGGAATTTCTTGAAGGATAATTAAGTCCTGTTACACCAAAGAGATGTAGAGAGTTTTAAAGAATTTTGTCTCATGCAATTGACGCTCCCCCATTTTTATCAAAACGCTCAACTATATATTATTCTCCGTTGGACCAAACAGACAAAACAAAAAACAAACAAACCCTCATTCTTCCAAGACATTATATATTTTCATCCGAAAACGTCGTGAGCAATTGTCGTTTGTATTCACATGTGGACCAATTAACTTTGGGTCTCAACAGGCGCGTGGACCAAAACTCCCGTGCCGAAAAAACGTGTGGACGTAAATTACTAGAAAAAACAGGTGCGCCGACAAAAAATCGTTGACGAAATGTCCTATAACCACGGTGAGTTGATAACATTGGAGAAAATTCAGAATTTTAGATCCTTTCGTTTAATTTGCAGTTCAATAAGCGATAACAGATGAATCAATCGATTTTTATTGTTACGAATAATTTTTAAAGACTATTAGAATCCGTTGAATATGAATTGATGGCATGCTGACTCTCTTGAATCTCTGTCTTTATCAGACTTCATTTTCTTGTTGGGGCAGAATTGCTTGAAATTCAAAGATGATGTTCTGTTTGGGGTGCAAGAAGTTTATCCGAATCTTGATGACACTGATCAGCGATGAAACGAGAAGAGAAGTAGAATATTATTTCCAAGAAACTAACAACGCTAAAACCCATGAACAGGCTCAATGATCCTCCAACTTTTCCTGAAACAACCAAGAACCCAGTAGAGAGAGGTAAAAAAATTCAGTGGAATATTTTGTCACAATCCCATATCACTAACACACTGCGTGTTGCACATTTAAATATAATTTTTCTCCTTTCCTTTTATCTTTTTGATTCCCTAAGAAAAGTATTTTCTTTTATATAAGTAGAACACTGTAACAAACAATGCTGAACAGCAGGCTGCGCAGGGGCAGCCTGCTGTTCAGCACAAGAGCCTTAAATGAGTTCTCTACAAAAGCCTCACAATGATTTGCCTTCAATCAGGAGACAGGCAAAATACCCTGCACAAAAACAAGAATAAATTCATCAAAATGTCACTATTTTCACGCGTTTCCAGAGCTTATTTGACCGATAGTAGAATACATTTCCCTACTTTTCGAGCGTTCACATTGCGATTTTGCTTTATGAGAGACATTTTTTTTCCAACACAAATTGCATTAAATAAAAAAAGTGAGACCATCGTTCATCTTTTTCTCTTTCCCATGTTTAAGGACTCATGGCATGGATAACGACAGATGGTTACAAAATTTGGTCACGTTGCATTTTCCTCTGTTACTTTAGTTGATTTACTCTGTTGTTTTTTTATTTTTCATTGTATTTATTGACGCCAAAATAAATACAATTCAAGCCGGAGATTTCAAAGGAAAGACACCCACATGTTCATTTGAAATTCTTCCTTCGAATTGAAAAAAACAAAATCACTTTTCTTTTAAAATTCTCGACACATTCCACGTTAGAGAAAAACTGAGAAAATTGTTGTTCTGCCCAAGAATTAAATTTAACGTTCAAACATTGCCAAGGACAGGACAGTTAATCTTTTCGCATGAATGGAGAGGAAAAATTTCTCGAGATGATGATGAAGATTTTCTTTCAGCAACCAACCAAATTCGTTGACATTTCTTGGCGGTTTTCCTTACCAAACCGCGACCGTCCTAACTTGACTACAATTTATAATGAGGACCCAGTATTTTTTGCTCATTCTAAAAACAACGAACGCACTATTATTTTTCCTAGCCGAATAGAAGCTTTCATTGATCAGGCAGAAATAGTGATTCTTTATTTGCAAAATTCATACTAACTATCCATCGTATCTTTGAAAGGTTTCATGAGCTTACGTCTGCATGCAAAAAATTATATTCTGTTCAGTGTCGAGGCGTGAATGATCGATAATCGATATTTCCTCATTGAAGCTACGGTACAGAATAGATTATTAAGGTGTTCGTTGCGAACACCCTGTTTATCCATCCTTTTCCATGGATTTTAATCGTAGATCAATCGATGGATCGCAAACCACGCCACTCCACTAATTCTTTTTAATTACGAAGCTGAAAAAATATGAGTACTACGTTGGATGCTCACCTATAAAAGAATTCAAGGGGAAAACAGGGGCACGCGTTAACGGATAAACTTGCTTCGTCGATATAGATACATGCACTCCCGTCAACGAAGCCATCCTGAAACCGGTAAAATAAATAATACAGTGAACCCTTCACTGCCAGTTTAGAAAGTATTCACCTCAAAGTTGGTTGTTACCCCGTTATTTTATCCAGACCACGCTTACCTATGAATGAATAAAGCGGAAATACAGGGGCTCTCGTCAACGGATAAATTTGCTTCATTGACAACGTAACGTCAATCCCGGAGAGAGATGCCATCCTGCAACCGTTCAAATCAAAAATATTTGAAACCCTCCACTACACGGAGAAAAAAACCTCGTGCGTGGGATCCGAAGTTTAGGTCATATGGATCTCTGAAGTTTTCGGATTGAGCATCTGAACACTTTAGGTCTAGCTGTCGAGGTTCGGATCACACATCTGAAGTACTTCAAATGTGAGAACCGAAGTTTTTCGGATGTGAGAACCGAAGTTGTTCGGATGTGAAAACTGAAATACGTCAGATGTAAGAACTGAAGTTTCAAAGGTGTGATCCGAACCTCGGTAGCTAGACCTAAAGTGTTCAGATGCTCAATCCGAAAACTTCAGAGATCCATATGACCTAGACTTCGGGTCCCACGCACGAAGTTTTTTTCTGCGTGTAGTATTTTCTCAATTGAGGAAACTTCTTCTCGAAGACGCGATAACTTTCTAAAATCAATGGAGGGGCTTGGTGGACAAAATGCGTAAGTGCAGTTTTTGCTATTTTGAGAAATCCGTGTTTGAAGTTTTGGAATTACATAGATTCTTATGGTGGAGACAATGTCCAAACTGACTTTTTGATGCTTAACAATGGATTTTGGGAGAGAATTTTTCACAGAATATGCATTAAGACTAGTTTCACTTGAAACCATCAAAACCTTAACTTTTCAAAAACTGTACTTTATACACCTTGTCCTCCAAGCCCCTCGATGACATCATCTTCCCGTGCTTAAAATGACGAGCAGAAATACTCATTTTTGGTCAATATACATCGGGAAAAAGTTCGACTTACATCATCAGAGCTTTCTAATGATATCAGAAGGTAGAGACATTTTTCTCATAAATTTCAAATCATTTTGTTAACTCTCCGAAAGCGCTGATTTTTACGAGGAAGCACCTTAACATTGTGTAAAATTTAATAATACACGGAAAAAACGAGTTTAGGGCTGGTACCTGCACCGAAGGTCCCAGCCCTAACCGGGTAGGTAAAATTGCTTCACCTCCACCGCCATAGGGGCAGGCCCTGCGCGCGTAGAGCCCAAATCTACCTGCTTCAGGGTTCAGCCCTACCTGGTAAGAGGTAGACCCTGTCCAGGTAGGGCTGGGCCTTACCCACGCAGGGCCTGCCCCTGTGGCGGTGGAGGTGAAACAATTCTAGGGCCCAGCCCTAATCTCGTTTTTTCAGTGTAATCACTTTTTTTATTTTAAATTTTTTGATGCGATAAGCTTCTGAGATAGATATCACGGGTTCAACGTCATTATTTATTGTTTAAAACAATATACTTTCATGAATTGGCCGAAAACCTAGATGAGAATGAGCTTTGTGCTCAGACCATTCCATTTTCTTATGGGCTAGAAGTTGAATAATTTTACCTTTACATTCTTCTCCTTGAAAAAGTAGACTAAAGTCCTACAAAACCAGAGTGAAATTAATAAAAAATACAGTATTTGTCAAATATGCAGTCATAAAGTACTTGATAAGTGATATATGTACCTTTCGACCGAGACACTAATATTTAATCGTTGTTGAAATTGCTTGAGGATCAATTTGTTCGTGTTGAGAGGAATCACGTTACTGAATACTTCATATCTGATTTCAGTGCATGATGGTAAGCAGCTACAAGCAGCTCTAAAACCTCCTTTTGAGTCTGCGTAAGAAAACGTGTTAATTAGTTGGCGTTGAAAAATTAAAAAAAGGTCAAAAACTTATTCCTCCTCCTCTCCTTTCAAATTAAATGAATACCATTAGAATTCACTCAAAATGTTTCAGGATTTTTGCGAGAATTCATAGTTATTGTCATACCTATCCCTTATAATACATAATTCGAGGGGCTTGGAGGATAAGGTGCATAAGTGCAGTTTTTGCTATTTCGAGAGGAACGTGTTTAAAGTTTCCAAATTATATGGAGCTTAATGGCAGAGAGGAGGTTTAAACTCACTTTTTGATGATACAAAGTTGGGTTTTTGTTGCGAATTTTTCACAAAATATGATTTCAAACAAGTTTTAGTTGAGTTCTTGAATATATCAATTTTTTCAAAAACTTCACTCATGCGCCTTGTCCTGCAAGCCCCTCAAATGTTGTGACTTCTACGTGCCACGATGGCCATTTCGGAAGGAATGAAAACCTGCGAAGATGAAATTCATTAATACCAAAATGACCATCATGTACGAGTTAGAAAATTTCAAGAAAAGGAGATCGGGAAACAAAGGGACATATTTTATACAAATCTTTTCAAACTTTCCATGTGTCGTGAAGGTCTTTCCCAAAATTTAGCGGCGCACCGAGAAAAAGATTGGTAGAATTTACCATTCCTTCACGCTGTATTTCACGTATAGCGTCAATTCAGAGTCAATTCTGTCAGAAGAAAGGTAAACGCTACAATACACTGGTACAGGTAACCAAGCCAAGGCCAAGGTGGCCTCAAGTAAAATCGACTTTGAATTCACGCTGTGTGAAATACAGCGTGAAGGAATGGTAAATTCTACCAATCTTTTTTTTTCGATGTGTGTCTCTCACAGCTTCTTTGACGTTCAGATTCATTCTTCCCGGTTTCAGGTCCTTTCTTGTCATTAGATACGGTAACAAAATTCAGATTGAGCCATTGCAGGCTATTCAAGGACTCATGAGTAACTTCTTATTATGATAAGAAATACGTATTTACAATATTTAAGGACAGTGGTATGAAATGGCAAAAAGTGAGCTTGAGATTTTCTTTCCTACGGCGAAAAAGATCACTATCATCGTCTAGAATGGAAATCAGTAGAATGTTCCTCACCAAATGTATCTAAAACACATCCGATGGTTGACGAACCACATACAGCCATTTCTGCCGTCCCTGTAAAAGAAAAAATATTAAAGAAATTGAACATCAAGATCCAATGCTGATAATTCGATGGAATAATCAAATCTGCGTGCAACAAGTAGACGTATTCCTGCCAAACGGAACTATGTGCATTATGACGTGAGCCTCGTTGTGCATGTATTCTTAAGGGTCTCAGGGCTCACGTCTCAATGCACATAGTTCCGTTTGGCAGAGATACGTTCAATCGTCGTTTCCCCAAGAAAGAACGTAACTACATATCAATGTTGTCAAACTTGCTCTCGCAAATTGCATTTTTAGTAGGAGAATCTTGGGCTTCTCTAACTGAAAATTTCATTGATTTTTCTTCTGATCTGATGCTTGGTCACAGAAACCGATCTTCGGGAAAGATCGCGAGCCCTTCACTTGGCCAACAGAAACCTTGGTTGCTATAACTGAGGACTTTGGTTATCCGTACCCAAATCTGCAGTGCCCATAGAAACTGAAGTTTTGGCCAGCGTGCAATGACCTATGATCCAAAAACCTGAGTTTTGAAATTATTTTAACCCTAAATTGATTTGAATTGAAAACCCTTACTCGGCAAATGCAAAGGCACACAATTGCATACTGTGAAAGAGCGGTTGCTGAGACATTCAGATACGCAGTTCCTCTCGGAGTAGGTCGAAAAATAGTATAGATGTCGCTCATTGTCAAAGTAGCAACCTCTTTTTTTCACAGGCCAGGAGCGCATACTTTCGCTCGTTTGTTTCAAGTGTACTTTAAGTTTCAACTGATTCAACGCTCCATGGATGATGGGATACCACGAGTGTATCGGAGAACTTGCGGTTTCCGTTGGGCTATGCACGGATAACTGTAAATCAAACGAAGTCATTTTATTCATTACATGTATCACTATTTTTGTTTGCAAATAATTTTTACACTGCTTTTTCAAAAATTATTGTGCGATATTTGTACTTACATAATTCTCGAGGCTAGGCTGCAACCCTTCGCATTAAGGTACTTAATTGATGAGAAAAAAGAGCAATTAAGTTTCACCGTTGAGGGCGAAAATAAAGGACGTTTTCAGTACCGCATCAGACACAAAACGAAAGACCACGCTGATAATAGCTCCTGAATACAACTATACCACCTCCATGGATGTGCGTGTTGCCCAAGCAATAATTGAAGGCGCTTTATCTTCGTTGATCTTAGAAACTATGAGAAGCGCTCAACGCAGCCTCCCAGACTTTCGCAAGGTCTGAACATTCTGCGGCCCGATTATTGAAACTATGTCGGCCTGACAAGACAAGGCATAGCCCTATCTTGACCATGAAATATATCGCAATTCGATATCTTATCGGGCCACTTTAAACTTTCAATAATCGGCCCGCTGATGCATATAGAAGGTAAGCAATAAGCGAATTAATATTTTGAATGAGAGATAATGCCTAGTTCCCTTATTTATGATAATTTTGATTTATACATAAAATGCTTGATCCCTGGGGGTAGATTCACATAAGACTATTTCAAAATGTATAAATAAAACATATATTGTCTACGTAAGAGATGCGCTGAGGTGTTCAAGCTGTGACGTCGAGTTTTTTTTTAAATACATCTCTTCATACTTCTTTTATATATACGAGCGTTTAGATAGTGAATGCGTTTGTATAAAAAAATATTATTCTTATGATCAATATCTTTTCAAATTTTATTTTTAGTGGTATAAAAATTGGCTCCGCTACGAAAACGGTTCTTACTCTGGTTCTTACACGGTTAGAGGCGAAAGAGGCTCTTCTTCGTGACAGATCATAAATTCCGGGATCGAAACAATCTTGTCGATCGAGAAATCCCTAGACGTAACTAACACAAATAGTGTACATTTGGGGAACTATGGAACTTACATTAGAAAAGATTGTGACATATTATAAGCGGGAATGTTCTTGAATCCAGGTGACAAGTTTCATGGATCGAGGCGAAAACTTGCTGGATTCGAGTTATTTGAATTGCATTTTGCAAAAAGGAACCACTAGCATTACAATGATGCTAAGATTGTGCAACTTCATCCTTTACAATAAAATTACGGAAATCATGAAAAACTATGAAATTTAGATGATCATTTTGGTCTTAAATGTACAGTTTTTAGCGAGTAAAATAGAAACCATTAATGGATAATTGGGTTTTTCCTCCAAGACAAAAGAAGCTGCATATAGCAACATTGCAATGCTAGTGGTTCCTTTTTCCAAAATGCAATCCATTTTATTTTTGATATGAGTGGAAATGTTCGTAACGGCAAATTCAAGACACCTTTTCTTCTAGTGTATAGTAATAATAACTTACATGATAACCTCTAAATCCTGCGTAACAGGTGTCATCGTAATCGTGAAGGTCTAAACTGATAGCGGCCCCCAGGGGTTGCCTTCGTTCATCCCCAACGGTCCTCAGGGGTACCATTTCTGCCCAGTTGAAGGACTGTGTATCATAGCCTTTCTCCAGTGTCCAGCTGGTGTTCCTGTCCAATAGCTTACCTGAATTGCCCAGTTCCTGCTGTTTTTTTATTCTAAAACAGTGCATTGTAAAAATTGGTAAATTAATTCATATCGAGGAAGTGTATAACAATGGTAAAAGTCACCAATCACGTGCCCCAATGTTGTAATTCTCCTGTCACAGGAAATATAACGATGGTAAAAGTCACCAATTACGTACCCCCGTAGTTACAATGTTGTAAATCTCCTGTCACAGGAAAACGAATGGGTATTTTTAACTTGAATATCACAAAAATGATTACAAGAATGAAGATGATAAATTCTGAAATTAACTCGTTTACTCATACACTTCAGTCCAGAAAAAAACTCCGTGCTTGAAAAATATACCAGAGTGTGGGGTCCAATGATATTTTTGAAGACACTCATCTGTTGGTAATTTTGAGTAAAACTTGTCTCACGGTGCATTGTATAAAAAACCTCAATTTTCGTCTCAAAATTTTTCAAAGACATTTGAGCCTCATGTTGAATCCTGAGGGATAGACTTTCAAATTTTCTTCCTCGTACCTTTATATCCACATATTTAACAATTTTGAATGGGCATTATTGAAAAAGCGATTCACGGCGGGAGAAAAAAACCTTCGGCTTATATGAAACACTGGGAATTTCAGTCCAGCCCACTGAGGTTTTCAGTCATGAGAAACCAACTTTTTAAGTCAGGCAACATAAGTTTTTGTTAGCCGCAAAAATGCATCTCCTTTACGAAAATCCTCAGTTAACTTATCTGAAGTTAGGTTTCTAGGGCTGAAAACCTCGGTTACCCCTACTAAAAACTCAGTTTTCCACGTGAACTGAACTTCTGTCATTATACCCAAAACTTGTTTTCGTGTACACATCATGATGTATTTTAGATGGAGTTGAAAAGTTCGCACAATGGTATTGCATGTTTCGAGTAGAGTGACGTCATCGGCAAAGGGTTGAAAGTGAAGCAAAGTCCGTAAGGTGTAAAGACAGTTTGCATATAGTCGCAAGCGTTTCCGATGAACTCATCTCTCCACCAGACACCTTTGAAGACGTCAGTGCATTTTTGTGAAACTTTCTGGAGAGAAAACATGATCGAAAAATTAGACGATCTTAATCATATCCGTTTGACCATAAACAAATAACGGACGATCACTAGAGTAGCATCTTCAGTGTAAAAGATTCCTTCCACAAAGATCTCAGATACTGATCTTCTTTCTCGTCTTGATATTAGAATGCTTTATTATTAATTAAAAGGCGTGAGTGATCGATTATCGATATATCCCCATTTGAAGCTACGGTAGAGAATCGATTATTAAGGTGTTTGTTGCGAATACCTTGTTTATCGATCCTTTTCCAAAGGTATAAGTGGCAGATCCATCGATATATTGCAAAGTACACCAAGTTATAATATGATTCCGTTCAATTTATACAATTAATCTCAATGGGCTATTGCGATTCAGTTTTTAAGTACGTAAAGTTACGTAATGTTACGTTAGAAATTTCTTTGACCATCATTGGGGGTCTCCAATAAAATTCCAGATACTTCGTGATAATTCTCAGCCCATTGACAAAAAACTTTTCCCGCTCATTTTAATACAGTCATTTTAGGTAGTCATATGTTCGAAGGTTCTGATTTCAAACCTTAAAAAAATGATTACCACATCTTTCTAAGTTGTCCGTAAAATTGTTAATCGGAAAATCAGCTACTACATGCAGTTATTACAGTTTACATGCTAAATTTCTAATATATTCATATTCACCTGAATCATATAATTAATGACTTTGTCATCTATGAATGATTCCTCTACATTGGTGTCGCTAAAACACACGTTATTTGACAAATCCAGTAATGAAATCCTAAAACAGAAGGACAGCTCAGAGAATAGCGATAGAGAGAATAGGAATGCATCCATTTATTTTTCACAGAAAATTCAGATGAAAGAGTTAACGTGAAGAGTTAAAGTGTTAAATATGCTCGTCATTATTTCATTTTCGAAAGTTCCATTCGGGTTCACCCCATTTTACACTTCATAGACATTTGCGAGTAGATCCATTTCTCCAAACTGTCTCAAAGCATGTTTTTGGATTCACCTGATTACTATGCAATTCGTTTTTAGAGAACTTCGATGGGGGTGATTTCCTCCTTTCAAGCATTTACTACCTTTGCAAGTAGCAATGATCGCGATAAGGAGAATATATCGCGATTTTACCGATTTCAATTTATTGCAATATTATCCGATAAAAAATTGTGATAAATTGCGAAATCATCGCATAAATTTGCAGTATAGTTGCGATTTTATGGATGGCGATATTTCGCAATATCATCAAACAAAAAATCGTGATAAATTTGTATAAAATTTTGACTTTATAGAAACGAATTGTGACAAGATTGAGGATATATCGCTCAGCTGTTAATGATTCGTAAAAAAATCGCAACTTCATCGAACAATATCACGTTTTTTTTCTGTTGAAAAATGTTACTCGAAAACCGTTCCTTTTCATCGTATCCGTAACAAACAAAATTTACTTATGATAGATGAACAAGACTCACTCCTCAGGTGACAAAGCCTGGCGCATGAGGGCCTTCCTATGGAGTAAAGTGAGGTTAACAGCCGATGGTCGAAACTGATTCGTGCTGCAGAATGTCAATGCAGGGAACGGGATCTCGTAGACGTTTACCGGTCTGCTCTGAATCGTGAATCGGGCCTTTGAAGTGAGCCACTCATAAACCAAGTTGATGATCGTCACCACTGTCAAACTGTATATCAGCCATACCAGAGACATCCACAAGAACCTAAAACCAGCGATCAGATGGGATTACACATCAGTGGCTGAGAAAATCAGTCAGGACAATCGGAAATATATCGGTTGAGAGTTTGAGACCAGCACAAAATTCTTATTGTGAGATAAAATGTAGCGTCGTGTGAAGTAAAGTTAACACTGGTCGACCTCGGTCAAAGAGAAAACAAGAGTCCGAATTTGAATTGCGAGCCGAAAGGCAAAGTGGCACCCCCTACTTTTACAAGACGTTTGTGATTGGCTGGCCCACCTGGTGCCCACTTTCTGAAGCCCTTATGGAAAATAACAAGGAGTTAGTTTTTCATCGAAAATACATTGATAACAACAAACAATTTATGCGTCGGCGATTTCAGAAATTGATTCTCCAGATTTTTCGGAAGAGATTGGTGGGTGATACATGACACTTTTTTATCAAACACACTGAACAGTTCGACCTGGCATTTTGTTATCAACTTAAAATACGACACTTGGTTATTTAATACACGATGGTATTAAATTTTTAAGTCTGATACTATACTTGCCCAGGAAAACAAACCCTCAATCTAAAATGACTAAGTTGAAGTTTTAGTTTTGTAGAACAGTTTTCGTAAAATTGCCCATATGCGTTTCACGTCGTCCAGGGACTGCACTGAATTTGGCGCAATGCGTGAAGTATTCCTGCACTCTTGTAGGCGCTAACATGCTTTCCGCACCGACCGGCGACTGCACTGCGTCAAGCGCAACGCGTGAAGTATTCCTGCACTCTTGTAGGCGCTGAAATGCTTTTCGTGCCGAGTGTCAACCAGGGACCACACTGTGTCGGTCGCAATGCGCGAAATACGCTTGCACTCTTGAAGGCGATTTCATCACATAAATTTGCAATAGAATCGCGCCTATATCGACGGCGATTTATCGCAATATTATCGAACAAAAATCGTGATTAATTGAGATTAAATTCTACTTTTATCCAACGCGATTTTATAGAATTAAAATTGCGACAAGGTCGAAGATAATCGCTCATATGTTGATGATCATAGCAATTGTATCGCCAAAAATCGTAAAAAATCGCAACTTAATTTCAAAATATCGCAATTTTTCCGTCGAAACAGGCTTCTTAAAAATATTGACACATTTCAGTGGTGGCTAGGTGTCGAAAAACACTCAATTGCACTGTAAAAGTGACTAATAAATACACGCATGTTTCAAATCAGGGCATAACTCGATTTCCGCATGAGCCCTAGAAAGCAAGGATTAATGTCTAAAAGAGGGGTCACGTGGAATTAGAGATACGCTCTTACGCCAGAGGAGCGAACAAATATCAAGCCGCTCACCTCTCCGTGCGAGGAATATCAGGACCGTCGAAATTATCTGAATTGTCTAGAGAGGCTGGAACTAGCGTCCGCTTCAGTCGCTCTACGTTAAAATTTTGAGTTTTTAATTGATTGTCAGTTTTTCCTGTTGGTCCAATAGACTCCTTAGACTTTGGAAACTGAAAATAATGATAAAATTAGTACCTAGCTAGAGCCAAAAACCGAGAAACAGATTTGTTAACTTTGGGTCCTTTTTAAAGTAGAAGTTATTGTAATAGTCAAAAAATTCTGAATTTATTTCGCACTACTCGATTATACGCAAGGAAATATATTTGTACTACTTCATTTCATGAAAAATTTTACGTTCGTTTATAATTAAACACCGAGAAACTAACACAAACTCTATGTCCTTTAATTAGCATCATTAACATATTAATGATGCGTTTAATTGGTCAAAACTGAATGTAATAATTGTGCCACACAGTCCCTACCATTTTTCATCAAATTTCAGAAACTCGCTAAAACTTGAAAATGGTGGGTGATTTCTATCAAACACCACATTTGATTAAAATCATTCATTTTCGGACCATTTACAAATAATAGGGTCACTAATTTGTAAGTCATCTGATCACATGGTCAAGTGCCTTAAAAATCGGAGACAATAAATGTAGCATTTTTCTATGTGTAGAAAAATATCTTTCGACTTTCGAGGTGCCAATTTGAGTCTCCTACCAATGCAAGAATGAAAGGATACGTGGCGTCGTGGCGTGATCACTTTTCAAGAATTGGGTTTATACATTTACATATTCTTTCGGCTTTTACCTCTGTTTTAAAATGTTATTTTTTAATGCCCTTGAGTTGTACATTTTTTTAAAAAAAAAACTCACGTACAAAGTGCACTCTACAATTTAAACAGACCTCTCTGCGTTTAAAACTGGATGCGAGTGATTTTTCCTTTTAAAATGTTGACTTAGAAAGTTAAGGCCACGTTTTCCTGTACATCGTTATGAAGTGAACCTCGAAATTTTTAAAGAAATTTGCATGGTTAAAAACTTACGATTGAGGGAGGTGTAAATTGCTTGATAAAAAATATAGACGATTCACACCTTGGCATTGTTCTGCCAATGTTTATTTATCTTGCGTCCGTCCTGCTGTGATAGAATCAACCCAAAAATCTACAAGCTCGACTACGAATAATTCATACATGACTCTTTTCTGAAGGATAATCGTCGAGTTGGGCGGTACTGTTTACTTAACCAAGGTTGACATACTTTTGCGCAGTTGTCTTTTTGGGCTCTTGTCTATTTCCCACCATCTACGCCTTTGCTTCCGATGGAAACAGTTACAATTGGACGTATTTTTGTCAAACGAAACTATGTGCATTATGACGTGAGCCCTAACACTCATATATTCTTATAGGTCTCAGGGCTTATGTCTTAATGCACATAATTCCATTTGGCAGAAATGCGTCCAATTATACATCCGACAAGGATGTCGCCACTCTGCGCTGGACTGAGCCGCTAATCATCAGAGAACAACATCAATTTTATGCGAATTTTTTAATAAAATACGATGATAGACACTTGTCATCGTCTCACAACCGCTCACTACAATCACAACCTAAGTCGTTGTCAGTGCCATCACCAACACCACCCTTACCACTACCACTACCACCTTCACTTCCAGAGTTACCACTAGTGTCATCTCCAAAACCACTTGGATTAAATTTTGCAATGAGGAACCACTATCTCCGGCTCCTCTGTAAAAAGTACCTTTCTGCATACGAAAACCATTGGCATATATGCTGTTTCTAAAATGAGCTGGAAATAGTGGTTCCTTATTGCAAAATGTGGTCCAATTGATATCCCACTAGTGTCACCGCCACTATCACTACTATCGTCAATACTAGCAGAGGTACCACCAGTGCCCCCAGAGGCAATGCAAGTATTGCTTTTTTAATTAAATAGACCTTCATGCCTCCTTTGCTTCAAATTACTCAATGTCAATTTTCTCAATATGTCATTTTAAATTTGACGTAATTTGTTCGCTAACCACATATAAATACTAGCGGGGACAAATCAGAGAAAAAGAGAGACCCTCAATTGCTATCTTGGCTATGGGCGGCAGCTTTTACTTATTCGGGACTTCTACATTCAACTGCATTAACTTATATACCAGATGGCTTCAACAACAACGTGTTGAGTATTTCGTTTTGCAAACATACCGAAGTGTGGCAAACTCGTTTGGCACGTTACGTCACCCAAAGTTTATCAGTCACATAGTAGATGATAGATGAGTCAACAGTCGAATAAGGTTATAGGACATTTCGTCAACGATTTTTTGTCCGCGCACCTGTTTTTTCCAGTAGTTTACGTTCACGCGTTTTTTCGGAAGGAGAGTTTTGGTCCACTTACCACTTGAGACCCAAAGTTAATTGGTCCACATGTATATACAAGCGACAATTGCTTACGAAGTTTCTGGATGAAAATGTTTAATGTCTTATTGGAAGAATGAAGGTTTGCTTGTTTTTTTTTTTTTTTTTTTTTTTTTTTTTGTTTGCTCCAACGGAGAAAAATATATAATTGAGATTTTTGGTAAAAATCGTCGGCTACCTGACATAAGGGCGTAACTACACTTTGCAATGAGCCCTGTCCTCCAAATAATTCAATGCTTTTCCGGGCTCATCTCATGTGTAGTTACGCTCTTATGTCAGCCAAGCGACGAAATGAGGGAGCGTCATTTCCATGAGAGAAAATTCACTAAAACTCTCTACACCTCTTTGGCGCGACAGGACTTAATTATCTTTCAAGAAAATCCCATATTTTTATACCTGAACTGGAAAACCTTTTGATTTGCCCCAGCTAAAGGATCTCATATTTTTCTTGTGCATGATAACTTCGCTTCGGCATGGGTTTGCCGCTGCGCTTCGAGCTACTATTTCGCCACGGAGGTGTTGCATAGTATCATATGAGATCGAAGGCACCCCAATGTATCATGATTGATGGTATCGTTCAAAATCACGAAGTTCCCTCGCAAGTTAAATCGAGCGACGACAACAAAAAGAGAGCGGTAGTCGAAAAACTTACTGTCCTAGTATCTGTATTTAATAACGTTTGGCAAGATTTTTAACTTCATTAGAGGAACAAGGGACTTAATTTATGGAGAAATATCCTCAAATTTACCGCCGAGAAGATTTCCTTATGAGTTAATAAAGAAAATAATGTTTTCTTAAAGAAGAAAAGATGCTTTTATAAACAGGAAAGTCACTTACATCAAGCAGAAACCCGCTTTTGTTCACCTATTTTATTCTTGATTCAAATTAAAATCTTTTCGACGGCAAACTCAAGAATGTTCCTTTATCTCTCTTATCTCGACTTATTTAGCAAGGAAAGTTCCGTACTCTTATAGGATGCCTGTCATTCTTATTGTTGGTATGTTGAAGTGCCTTCAATTTCGTATAATACTGTACAACATCTCTATTGTGAATTAGTGAAGCGCCGTGGCACGTGGCACGCTGCGGCGCGGTCAGCCAGCCAGCACGGAACGCGCATTGGCGCCTCCAAACCTAAGGGATACCTCAAGCATTGCGCAATGCGTGAAGTATCTGCTTAGGTTTGTAGGCGCCAGTGCGCGTTTCGTGCTGGCAGCACGTCGCATCACTCCGCTTTATGCTAGGGCCTATTATTTAAACTCGCGGAGGCAGCGTTTATCAACTCATGATTTTTATATGTTTGCACACTCTGCATGGATTACTTTAATTTAAGTTGATAAAAAAAATATATATATGAAAGGAAAATTTAATGTGTGTTTTGTAAATATTAAAGTGTTTTCTTGTCGTATTTAATGATTTTCAAAGCATATTAATTTTTTCTTTTATATTTTGTGCTTTTACTGTGCTGCAGCGTGGTGTGAATGCAACCAAATGCTCAAAATAGGACGTATTTGACTCGACACAACTACTGCTCATTGACTTGAATATCGATGCCATCGCTTGGAAAAGGTTTTACAAATATTTTCCACGTTTTAAAAATGTAAATGTTTTTAAAATAAAGTAATATTTTCATTAAAAAAAAAAAGTATTTATAAGGTTTATTTTTATCGAAAATTTTAAGGATGGAAATAAAACCAAATGTTCACCCATGACAATTTAAAAAGATTGATCAAAAGAAGAAAATAACATTTCATTTAAAAAATGAGTTACCTTAACAACTCTCCCGTCTCTCTCAATGTTCTTATTTCATTATTGCCAATATAATTTTACATACGGACTAAAATATGACACTTGGACCAAGGCACTTTACAATGAGACAAGCAGTTTACAAGCGTCGAGATTCGTCCTAGGTATATTTAAGTACAATAGAATAACCAAAAAAATTCGGCCTCTACGGGACAAATCCACCTTCCAATGATATACCTACACAGATGAGTCAATGGGTCAGTTGTGCTTATCAAAAAATCGTGTTTTGATGCTTGATTCTTGTTGATTAGCTAAAAAAAATATGATCCGTCCAAAACGCAACTTTCTACGTTCAATATTAACCGAGATATCGCTCTTTGAAAAATCGGGTTTGTGACGTCATCCTCCGCGGTGGTGACACCCTCCACCTTGCTTTCATCCGAGTTTAGCGTTAAACAACCAGTGCAAATTTGCGTCACCCCGACTGATGAAAGCAAGTTGGAAGAAACCAAGGGTGTCAAAAACCCGACTTTTCAAAGAGCGATATCTCGGTTAATATTGAACGTAGAAACTTGCGTTTTGGACGGATCATAGTATTTTTCGCTAATCTAAAAGAATCAAGTATCAAAACACGTTTTTGTGACCAGTGCAACTGACCCATTCTTTAGCCCTGGATAGACGATCGAATTCCGAACCAATTCCGATCAAAGAGTGCTGATGACTGATGGTCACCATCTACCATCAAATTTTGACGGGCCGCACTTATTTGTTCAAAGTAAGATCAGAATGGAGTGTCACCATTCATCATTTCCTGCCACAGGAAACATTTCTGCCAAGTTTTCATTTTAAAATGAAGCAAATTAATGAGTTTAAGACTGATGACTTCCGACACTTTGATGCTACTTTGATCGGAATTGGTTCGGGGATTTGATCGTCTAGCCAGGGCTTTTCGCGAATTCATTCATTCTGTCCCTCGTTTGACTTTACTATTCAGTCTCTTTTGTAACGTGGGTGGAAATAGGTTAAGCCAACAACGTAGGGCTACCTCAACATCCACCATACCGCGAAGTTCATCAATCTCGCGGTGATCATTCATCAAATCCTATCGGTCGGGTCTCATTTCGGGAGCACACGCTTGCCACTCTCCGAGCTCACTTAGCACCATGTACATCCCGGCCGGCGCTAATAATAGTCCTCGGGCCGTTTAACGGAAAACACTTAGTGCGGCCGAAACGAAACGAAACGACAAGTTACTTAGCCGAATGTTCGCGGCGCGGAATCCGTTTGAGATTTGGCAGATTTCGTCGATCCGTGCCAAAGAGGCCGAAGGTGCCCCGGACTGCCCCGGGTTTCTTGACCCCTCCGGGGCGCGACAGGTGTGATCCGCGTTCCAAACTTTTTATTTTTATCCGAGCGCACCGCGCGACAGAACTTCGGGCTCCTTACGCCGCGTCCAGGAACGCAACTCCATTCAGAGGTTGCAAAATTGACTGAAACAATAAAGAATTTACAGGTGTTTTACATTTTGTGAATTTCATCTTTAAAATGATACTACACGGAGAAAAAAACCTCGTGCGTGGGACCCGAAGTTTAGGTCATATGGATCTCTCAAGTTTTCGGATTGAGCATCTGCACACTTTAGGTCTAGCTGTCGAGGTTCGGATCACACATCTGAAACCTCAGTTCTTAAGTCTGAAGTACTTCAGATGTGAGAACCGAAGTTTTTCGGATGTGAAAAGCGAAGTTCTTCAGATGTAAGAACTGAAGTTTCAGATGTGTGATGCAAACCTCAGCAGCTGGACCTAAAGTGTTCATGATGATTATTCCGAAAACTTCAGAGATCCATATGACCTAAACTTCGGGTCCCACGCACGAAGTTTTTTCTTCGTGGTCTAGGAAAACTGAGTAAAAGGATATCCTTGGTTTCTAAATTGGACAGTTATTGGAGAAAATATGACAGAATAACCTAACCTGCTAAAATACATGTGTTTAAATGGAAAATGCCGCCAG